CATTCCATTATTTCAGGGCTGATGGCCCAAAAGAATGTCTGACTATATTTGGCTTTACATTTGATTTATAAAATCTCTCACTGAGAGGCTAGCTCAGTGGGTAAAGTGTTTGCTATGTATGCATAAGGACCTGCGTTTGGAACAGGTCACCCACATAAAAGCCAGACATGATGGCCTCAGTACTGAGGAGACAGAGACAGTGACATCCAGGAGACCTGCTGGCCAGTCAGCCTAGCACAACCAATGACAGATCCTGACTCAAGAAATGAGGTGAAGAGCAAGAGTAGGACATGTTACTTCTGGCCTCCACATGTGTATGCATGGGTTTGTCCCTGCACATACATTTACACAGGAATACTCCCTACCCAAACACACAAATTCACTGTGCTTTTAAAGTAAGGTAGATCAAAGATAGTTATGTTCTATTTTATTTAGGAAGCAAGATTTAAAAGGGAACATCTAATTCACTATAGACACATGAAAATTGTTCTGAGGTTACTATTAATAAAGACATTAGCAGAAAATGACAACCTAAAAATCCTAACTTGAAGGCCAGCATGTGGCAAATATTTCAACATGATTTGGTTCATTTCTACAGCACCACCTGGAGCAGAGGAAGATAAATCACATAATGAACAGCTCTAACATAGCCAAAGATGATGATTACAATATCAGAAGGACAATCCCATAATCAGTTTAATAATAATTAAGAGAGGTAATGAGGAATAGAAGATGGAAATAATCTCTTGGGCAACAGAACAACCATGAAAGCTTTTCTCTTTATTTTACTAATATAAATAAAAGGATTGGTATACTTAGGAGCTAAATCCTCACATGTTCAGTTTTTGTCTTTAGTTGTTTAAAAAAAAAAAAAAAACCAACAGATTTAGTAAATACTTTAAGAGATGAACAATTTCTAAAAAAGAAAAAAGCAGCAAAGCAGGTGAAATTTTAGGCAGGAAGAAATGATAATCCCAAGAATTATACAAAAAGTTTCATGAGCAAAGTACATAAGGAATAAAATGAAAAAGAAAAGATAATGACTATAATTATTACTAGAAATGGTATTTATTTCCCATTTTCTTTACTAGAAATCAACCTGATGCTACTTCAACTAGAAAATACTGGTACATATAACATATATACCATGTAACAATACCATGTAACAATACTTTGTTTTTTGGTTGGTGCTGGGGATCAAACTTAGAACTACCTTTAAATGTCTACCCTTAAAAAGTTATATAGTTTTTCTCTATGTCAAACATCTCAGTCATTTAACTTTGAGCCAACTAACATTTACAGAGCACATATGAGCCACGTGTAGGCAACAGGATGTTAATAGAGAGAGTTAACCATTGTGAAGATTGAATCCAGCAAGGAAGACAGGAAATGAAGGCTTAACAACATTGGTGTAGAGTATTATTTTAACTGGACAAAGATGCATTACATTTATTTATGTTGCAGAATATTACTTTAACTATATAAAAGTATGTTACATTGTTTGTGCTGCATTTACTTAATGATTGTAAGGATGTGTGTTTAATTATATAATAAAGATGTGCTGCATTGCCTGCCTAAGGCACCTGACTGGTCTAATAAAAAGTTGAATAGCCAATAGCTAGGCAGGAGAGACATTGGAAGGGTAGAGAGAATAAATAGGAGAAATCTAGGCTTGAGACGAGAATGAGGAGAACAAGAGGGACACACCCAGTGTCAACACGAGAAGCAGCGAAAGTAAGATACACAGAAGTAAAAATCCCAGAGGCAAAAGGTAGATAGAAAATTTGGAATATATAGTAAAGGCTCCAAACATATGGAGAAAAATTCAAGTAATTTCTCTAGAAATCTAAAAACTGAAAAATAAATAAGACAAAAAATATTGACGGGGGAAATATATTTCCAAATTGAAGGAACAGCATGTACAATGGCCTCGGGGCTTAAAAAGGCATTAACAAAGTAGAGACAGGAGATGGCTCAGAGGGTTAAGGGATTTGCTACCAAGCCAAATACCCAGAGTTCAATCCCCAGGTCCCACATGAGGAAGAAAAATCAATTGCCACTAATTGTTCTCTGACCTGCATACGAATGTGTAGTAGGAAATGCACACACCACACACAAACAAAATACATTCCATTAAAAGAGTCAGTTACAGAGTTAGACAAGTGATACAGGTTTATAATTCCAACTCTGCAAAGTCAGTCTGAAATGCAGAGTAAGATCCTATCTCAATAAAATGATGAAAAAGAAAAGGCCCTAAACATAGTTTAGTATGATTAGCACACAAAATACAAAAGGACAAGTGTCAAGAGAAAAAATTAGAATACGTGATAGATGCATTGTAAATAAATTCTGGTGAGAATGTGTCTAAGGTCTTTAAGGAGAAATTGGAGATTTGCTTTAAGATAATTTATTGTGGCTTTTTCTCTTGGCAGCAATGAAAATGAAACTGTAAAGAATGCAACTAAAAGCAAAAGCTAATTTAGTGAAATAAATCCAACTATTCAAACTACAAAATTTGGGGTTATGGATGTAGCTTAATTGGTGGAGTTCTTGTACAATATCTACAAAACACTGAGTTCCATCCCTAGCACAAGATAAAGCAGGTGTGATAAAAGGTACACACTTGCAATCTCAGCTCTCAAGAGGTAAAGCGGAGAGAATGGCAAATTCGAAGTCATTCTCATTTATAAGTCTAACACACAAAGATTCCTATAATTTTCTTAAGGAACCGAGTACCTGATTTCACAATACATAAAACTTGGCAGAATATACCACACTTCATTATTCTTACAGTTCCTATACTAAGGCACACTTTCAACAATTACAACATTCAGATAATAAATGGAAACAGCTGATATCTTAATGCATAAAGAATTTCATAGAAGTAACAGGGCGCTATAAAATAGTGATATAAAGGAACAGGGTGCTATATTATAGTGATATAAAGGCAAATGCAGAAGCTGCAAACCAAAGCAACCAGAAAACGCACTGAATTGGTTACCACGCCTACAATTTGGTTTCTTTGTTAATAAAAGGGGTCTCTTACAGAGCTGCTATGAAGTGCAAATGACACCACTTGTTCTGCAAACCCAAAGCTATTTTACCCTAGCATTTATTTACATTGACTGTTCCTAAGCAATCAAAGCATTATGTGTTACAAAAGAAAGTAATTTTGTAGGAGACTATTTTTTTCATGGAGTCTTACTGGAGGAGCTAAATAAAGCACTAACGCCTATATAAAAATCAACTCAGCCAGACTATGAACTTCTTAATTTCCAAAAATCTTCCCAGGAAATGTTCAAACATTAAATTCAAAGGATTCTTGAAGAGATTGAAAAAGTTTAAGACCTAATGAAAAGATAGCAATCTGTTTCATGTAAATGGTGAGTACATCCTTAATTAGTAGTTGAGTTACTTTAAGAGCACTAAACTATGGAAACTGCTATTTTTCAAAAACTTACCCCTTTGTTTTGTCAACCATAACTTGAAATGGAAATTTTAAAAAAAGGAACTTTGGTATAATGCAAATATATCTCAGGAATTTTTGAGAACTATTCTATTTTATAAGGAAAAGAAAAAAAAAAAAAATGAAGGGAAGAAAATGACCCTAGAGGGACAATGCCCCTTTCTGTTTACAGAAGATAGAAACGCGAAAAAAATTTCATTGTGCCCAATGGAAATGAGAAATAAAAAGATAAATTAAGAAACAAATGGCAATAAAAAAAGAAAATAGCTAAGTTTGAAATTAAAAATCACAAGCTGTAAAACTGTTACACTAAAACTCTGATGAAGAAAGCTCAAGAAAATGACTTGTGAAAGGAAAGCAACTATTAAGAAAGCAGGTTGCAATGACTGTGTTTAGGTTAAGAGCACTAAGTGAGAAGTAATTATAGAGGAGTAAAGTATGAACGGAAAGGAAGAAAGGAACAATAATGGTAGGGAAAATTAATGACTAGGAAAAGCAGTATAGCATAATTTACAGAATTATTTTTGTTATATTAATATAAAACAACAATAAATCTTACTAATAGAAGATAAACAAACAAAATATAACCAACCATGATTATACATCATACAAATATCAGGGCATTTTTTGGAAAACAGGTAAGAGGAAGTGACCCAGAATGTATCACAAAAAGAAAAAAAATGTAAACGGAAAAGAGAGTAACAGACTAAACAACAAAAAGGACTTCATTTGATTAAGTTAAGTCCTATAAAGGAGAAATAATGAAGCAGATATTATTTTAAAATAATAAGTATTTTTCAGCTCCACTAAAAGACATTCGACAGGAGAATGCACATGAAAGAAGAAGCTAGGACTAACTTAAGATCTAAAAGCCAGGAAATGACATAATGGTAGATGAAATAAATATCTCTAAAATAGCATAATTTACCTGTTTATATTTCTTTGGGAAGAACAAAGGTAAAGTCATATAAAGTTAAGATTATCGTGTTAGACAATATACTGGAAAGGAGAAAAGTTTAAGACAAGATCAAAAAAGCAAGTCCCAAGGATGTTCTATTAATTTATCAGGGCAAAGTCTAGCAGTAATAGAGCTGATAGGCTGTGTCTAGAAAGCAATTCAAGAGGAAAACTTACATGCAAATTTGTTCTTTGAAACTTCTAGACAAAACTATGCAATGCTTATTAAAAAAACCAAACTAGTTATTTAATAACTAGATGTTTACATTTAACTGGAATTATGATACTAATTAACTAAACATAATATAGTTTTTAGTAAAGAAGTTTTAGGAAAAATGAAACATTAATGAGATGACCAATCTTCATAAGAAACAATTCCTATAATTTACAACTGTACATTATGACTTCATTATTAAAAGTATTTATGTATGAAAATCTGAGGTTTTTTTCTTCTTGAATGTTGATATATACATAGTATACACATAATATAAAGTTCTCTGACAACACAGTAACTAAAAATTTTCTTTTCAATTATTTTTTACCTAGAGGAAACCACAACATAGTAAACTCAACTCACCAATGCTAGGCGGGCTACCATAGTTAACTGGAGACTCTGGTGGTCTTCCACAATGTAGTGCAGCCAGAGCAGATCCTTTCCATACCACATGCTTGCAGCCTATCAAAACATGCATTTTATAAATACAAAAATAAAATACAAAAACTGAGAAAGTGAATGTTTAAATTGTAATATAATGCATCCATACTTTTATTTGTACGTAGCAAGGACTGTCTCCCAGCTCCTAATAAAGTTTGTACTCCAGGGACACTCTGAGGAATTTCTTGCTCAAGAAGAGGTCCTAGTCGATGACAGATTTGCAGCAAGTGATCAGGTGCAAGATGTCTATAATACTTCACCTATTGGGTCAAAACCAAACATAAGCACCTATTATGTTCCAGACAAACAAAAATATTTGTTATGTAATGTTAAATAAAACAGTTACAAAAATTACAATCTGTTTAGGCTAATCAACACTGTTTTCACTCCAAGAGAATATTCAGATTTTTAAACCACTTATTCCACAGAACAGAGTTACCCATCATTTAGTACACTGAGGAAGAAAAAGTTGCTACAAATTTAATGTAAACTAAACAAAGTTGTAAAAATTAACATGCTGGCCAATGCCATTACAAAACAATGATAAACATACAGTTTCAGGGCAGGGGACGTATCTCCATTGGTAGCTTGCCCAGGATGCATAAGGAACTGGGTTTTCATCTCTAACACTACATACCTGGGATCTGGTGGTACACACCTATGACCTCAGCAGTCTGGAGATGCAGATGCTCTACTATGTAAAGTCGAGGCTATCCTGGGGTAGAAACTGACTATTCCCCCACCTCCATAAAAAAGAAAAATACACAGCAATTGCATTTTCAAAAACAAAAATCAGCAACAACAAAAAACCCACAAAAAAAAATCAGTTTTGAAACTGCTATTATGTCTCTAAAATAATTAAAAACTAAAGACAATTAATATTTTTAGATTTTCATTACACAAAGTTTAAGGGTATTTAATATACCATCTGTGCTAACTTTTGTTGTTTTTAGAGAGACAGGGTTTCTTTCCATAGCTCCAGCTGTTCTGGAACTCATTATGTAGACCATGTTGGCCTTAAATTAAGAGATTGCCTACCTCTGCCTCCCCAGTGCTGGGATTGAAAGTATGCACCACTATGTCCTACCATGCTAAATTTTTAATTTACCAAAAACCTTTAAAAGGGATGGGGAGGGGGCAAAATTCTAACTTTTGCATCAAGCAAGTTTAACAGTAAAATAACCTACTACTATAAAAAGACAGACCACATTAAGAACTCCACATCACTGATTAACTTACATCAGCATTTGAAACCGTAATGTTCATTCTTTTTATTATTTCATCTTCTAATAAATATTCTCAAAATCCAAAATGAATTAAATTATAACAAATATATACTATTTCACCACTTTACATTTACCACCAAAGTTATGAAATATGTCCTATTGTAGAAACTAACCATTTCAAGTAAGGTGCTCTTAAAACATACTGATAGCCATGACAATTTTCCAGGTAAAATCCTAACTAAGAATAAAACCTTGGTTGCCTTTTCCCAGCCATTTTTTCTGTGCAGTACTGGTTTCCAGAGGCCACATACACACTTAGGATTTCACAAGAGTCAACAAAGACTAATGATCTAAGTAACCAAATACTATAGATACACAAAAAGGTAAATAAAAGCCACTTCCCTTATAAATTGGTTTTAAAAATTTGTAGCATTTATGTTACCTGTGATAACATGAAATTAGGTTACTATACTGGAGTTTAATAGTATTTCTAGTATATGAAACATTAACTGCAAACACCAGTAAAGTGCAACACACATTAACAAAAGAACCCAGTAATATGTAATGTTAAGGGCCCTGAGCCAAAGTCTAAAAGTATTTGGAGCCTTAAGCCCAAATTTCAAAGTATTTCACCTACTGGCCAAACTTAATAATTTCTTAAAATAATACTGAGGGCTATGTAAATAGATAAATCCTTTTTACTTCCCCTTCCTCAGTGCTGGGGATAGACCTCAAGGCCATGAGCATGCAGGGCAAGCATTCCACCACCAAGATACACTTTAAGTTTTATTATACTCTGAAAAGTAGCGTAAATATTTTTTAAAGTTGACTAATAAACAGACTTCTAACATGAAGTCAAAAAGAGAACTCTTACTCCAGAAGACAATCCTGTCATAAATGGAGCCATGCTGTCACACTGATAATTAAAAACAGCAGTCTAGAATGTACACATTTAAGTAGTCAAAAAGGCTTGGCAGGATGAGTATCTTTAGAAAAAGATAATAAAATATATATTACAAGCTATGTACAATATACTATACTCTTCTGGCCAGTGTCAGTGAAGCCTCTGAGACTCCAGATAAATCTGCTTTTCATTTTGTTTAACCCACGATTTCCCTGACTTGTTTAGCCACAGCACTATTGTCTCCCTAGTATCTGCTTTAAGAAACATTAACAATGCCCGGTGGTGGTGGCATACTCAGAAAGCAGAGGCAGGAGGATCTCTTTGAGTTCAAGCCCAGGCCAGTCTACAAAGCAAGTTCCAGGACAGCTAGGGCTGTTATACAGAAAAACCCTGTCTTAAATTATCAAAAGAGAAAGAAACACTAATGAGTACTAAATTAGTAAATTAAATCATCTTTAGTGTTTAAAAGAAAACATAACAAAATAAATGATTTTTAAAATTATATTTATACTTTTCACTGATAAGCCCCAGAAAATTCTGGATTCTGCATACAAGGTGACCAGTTAGCAAAGTTATCTAAACAGCTCAAAGTAATTTGAATGTTCTTACCACACAGATATATCAATGTATTAGGTGACAGATATGCTAAATGCTGACTGATAGCAATACAATATATATGTGCCTTACATTGCACTTTACCCCTAAAGAATTCTGTGTCAGCTAAAAATATAATTAAGCCTAAGAAGATGGCTCAGCATGTAGGAGTGCTTGTTGGTCAAGCATGGGGAGCAGAGTTCAAATCCCTAAAGCCCACATGAAGATCCAGGGTGGTCACACATGCCTATAACCCCAGCATTGAGGACAGAGATGGGAAGACTGCTGGGGCTTACTGATTGTTAGTCTAGGGTCAGGATCAGTAGAAGACCCTGTCTCAAAGGACTAATATAGAGAGTGACGGAGCAGAACATCTCCTGTATCATACATACATACATACATACATACACACACACACACACACACACACACACACACACACACACCCC